GGCCTAATAACATCAGCCACACTATCAGAGGCTCGTTCACCTGCGCATCCACCAATGTGATATATGCCATCATGTGCCAGCAATGCCCCCTCTGCCATGTACATTGGTCAAACTGGACAGTCTCTACGTAAAAGAATAAATGGACACAAATCAGATGTCAAGAATTATAACTTTCATAAACCAGTCGGAGAACACTTCAATCTCTCTGGTCATGCGATTACAGACATGAAAGTTGCAATTCTTCAACAAAAAAACTTCAAATCCAGACTCCAGCGAGAAACTGTTGAATTGGAATTCATTTGCAAATTGGATACAATTAACTTAGGCTTGAATAGAGACTGGGAGTGGCTAAGTCATTATGCAAGGTAACCTATTTCCCCTTGTTTTTTCCTAAACCCGCCCCCCCCCCCTCAGATATTCTTGTTAAGCCCTGGATTTGTGCTGGAAATGGCCCACCTTGATTATCATACACATTGTAAGGAGAGTGGTCACTTTAGATAAGCTATTGCCAGCAGGAGAGTGGGGTGGGGGAAGGTATTTTTTCATGCTTTTGTGTGTATAAAAGATCTTCTACACTTTCCACAGTATGCATCCGATGAAGTGAGCTGTAGCTCACGAAAGCTTATGCTCAAATAAATTGGTTAGTCTCTAAGGTGCCACAAGTACTCCTTTTCTTTTTGCGAATACAGACTAACACGGCTGTTACTCTGAAACTCTAAAAAAAATTAATTATACTATTGGCCTTGCAGTATGTAGGCAGGAATGAGAAAACACTTAAGTTAAAACTCCATTTACTAAATAAGCTATTCTTGGAGCTGCAAGTTTTTTCTGGCAGAGCCGTAGGCTGAGCAATTGCAGAGAGACAGTTCATAGGAGATCCAGGTAAAATAAATTGAGAGATTTCCAGTTTATATATAGGCAGGTGTGAAAGTAACTTAAAGGACTTACCAATACTCCGGAGTCCTGATGAGGGGGTGGGGCCTTTAAATCCCCAGGCACTTTCAATCAGGGTTTAAAGGACCTGGGTCTAGGGCTGTGAGGGCAGCAGCTGGGAGCCCCGGGCCCTTTAAATCACCCCCTGAGCTCCCAGCTGCAGAGGCAACTGAGAGCCCTGGGGTTTGGGGGTGATTTAAAGGAGGCTATTTAAAGTGCCTGGGCCGGATTAACTTTTTGTGGGCCTGGCACCAAAGATATTTGAGGGCTCCTGTCATAAATATAAAGGGAAGGGTAAACACCTTTAAAATCCCTCCTGGCCAGAGGAAAAACCCTTTGGAGGGAGTTAGGGTGCGGGAGCAGGCTGGAGGTTGGAGTGCAGGGTCTGTCCAGGAGCTAGAATGAGGGAGGGGGCTCAGGAGGTTGGGGTGTGGAGCGCTTACGTGGGGCAGCTCCCATTCGGTGCAAGTGGGTATGTGGGGTGGGGGAGGGAGCAGGAGCTCCCGTTTGGTGCTCAGGGTGGGGATGTGGGGGGGGTGCAGGAGTCAGGGCATGTGGTGTGGGGGGGTGCAGGAGTCAGGGCAGTGGGGTGGGGGTGCGGGCTGGGGTCATGAGGGTGTGAGGGGGGTGCAGGAGTCAGGGCAGAGGGCTGGAGGGGGTATGCCCCCTTCCATGCCCTTCCCCAAGGCCCCGCCCCCACCTCTTCTCTGCTTCCTCATGCCAGCAAACAGCTGATCAGCAGCAGGGAGAGAGAGTGAGGGGGGGGGGGGAATGCAGCACACTGGGGAAAGAGGCGGGGGAGGGGGAGCTGGGCTGCCAGCGAAGCCTGCCCTGCAGCAGCAGGACAGAGCCCCGGGAGAAGGCAGCACCAAGCTTCTGCCCCCATAGGAGAGAGCGGGGAGCAGAGAAGAGCAGCCAGGGCCCCTTCCGAGCGTGGGCCCTTTAAATAGCCACTGGAGCCCCACCGCCGCTACCCCAGGGCTCCAGCAGCCAGGCTCTGGTGGAAATGTAAAGGGCCCAGGGCTCCAGCCGCTGCTGGGAGCCCCAGGCCCTTGAAATTGCCGCCTGGGGAAGCCGGTCCACCCTGGTACAGCGCACGGGCTCTTGCCGGTACGCCGTACCGGGGCTTACCGGCTTACTTGCACCTCTGTATGTAGGGTTCTTATTCAGCCAGAATAACACAAATCAGGAAAATCCATGGCTACATTCTCTTAATGTAGCTTAACAGTCAACTGTAAAGAAACAGGAAAGGCATCTCTCATACCTCCAGAGCTCACTGTCCTGGTTTTCATTAGCAACACCCTGTCTCCGCTTCTTGTGAAAATAAATCAGCCCTTTCCTTTTTTATGAATCTGAGCTTAACTAGGTTCCTGATTGCCCTGGCTGTGGGAGACACTCCCAGCTGGGATAACAAAACCCATAATGGGATTTAACCCTCATGTTCCAACTTGCTGTCCTGCTTGGCAGAATCTCCCCCTCACACACCAGTAGGTTAAGGGTGCAATAGCACCACTTTTGGGGGATACATGTGTCAGGGTTCCCTCCCCACTCTGAACTCTAGGGTACAGACGTGGGGACTCGCATGAAAGACCCCCTAAGCTTATTTCTACTAGCTTAGGTTAAAAACTCCCCAGGCACAAATTCTCCCTTATACCTTGGGTTTCAGTAACGCTGCCACCACCAAGTGATTTAACAAAGAACCAGGGAAAAGGACCACTTGGAGTTCCTCTTCCCCCAGCAATCCCCCCAAGCACTTACACCCCCTTTCCTGGGGAGGCTTGAGAATAATATCCTAACCAATTGGTTACAAAATGATCAAAGACCCAAACCCCTGGGTCTTGGAACCATGGAAAAATCAGTCAGGTTCTTAAAAGAAGGATTTTATTACAAAAAAAAGAAAAAGAAAGAAAGGTAAAAATCATCTCTGTAAAATCAGTTTGGAAAATACTTTACAGGGTATTCAGACTCAAAACACAGAGGATCCCCCTCTGGGCAAAACCTTAAAGTTACAGAAAACAGGAATAAACCTCCCTCTTAGCACAGGGAAAATTCACAAGAAAAAAAAAGATAAAGTAATCCGCCTTGCCTGGTTTACCTATACCGGTTGCAATATTGGAGGTTTGGATTGGGATGGGTTGGAGAAGATGGATTTCTGTCTGGCCCCTCTCAGTCCCAAGAGAGAACAACCACACAAAACAAAGAGCACAAATAAAACCTTCCCCCCTCCCAAGATTTGAAAGTATCTCCTTTCCGCATTGGTCCTCTTGGTCAGGTGCCAACCAGGCTATCTGAGCTTCTTAATCCCTTACAGGTAAGGAGGAATTCTAGGCTACCCGTAGCTGTATGGTTATGACAACATGCCATTCAATACCCTTATCGAAGCTGTTCTTAGCCCAAGACTGATGATTTTTTCAGAACACTTGGTAATATTTAGGCTGGTGTCTGTTTGGCCCAGATCCACAAAGGAATGTAGATGCACAAACTCCAGACTTAGGTACCAAAGTCCTAGCTTTAGGCACCATTCCAATTTACAAATCCCCAGTTCAGCTGCTGCCTATGCTATAGACAAACTAAATTTACTCACCACCTCAATTTTTGCTGTAAAAGTCTCCTAGACACCTATGTTTCTTCCTCTGGGCAAATACACTGATGCCTCTGGGAGGCACCCAGATGCCTACCTCACACCTAAGCCCTTCATGATCCTCAAGCCAGAGGCAGATAGGCACTGTCCCAGCTATCTCATCTGTAGGGCCTGATCCATTAGGTGTACTCAGAGGCAGCCTAATTGCACAAAATGACTTGGGGGGAAGGGGACGGATTATGTTTTTCTAAAAGATATGTTCTAGGAATTCTTTGGGGGATGTTTATGGCCTGTGTTATACAGGAGATCAGACTAGATGATCACAATGATCCCTTCTGGCCTTGGAATCTATGAACCTTTAGCCTAGTGTTTACGATACTCACCTGGGATGTGGAAGATTCCCAGATGAATTCCTCCTCTTCCTGATGAGAAGAAGGAACTTGAACTCGGCTCTCCCAGACTCATGATAGTACCCTTGCAGGGATCATGTGATTGTTGGACAAAGGCATTCCTCTCCCAGTAATACTCTTTTTTTGCCACAGATAGTTACTCCTGAGCACAGCCCGTGCTCTACTCTTCCCTGCCAACCCAAAAGGAAGCATATGTGTAGTAACTGAGCTGACTGGGGAATAGAGAAAGAGCAGGTGGCAGTTTGAGGATGTTGCAGGGAAACCTTATCTTCACTTCTCTGTTCTTCAGTCTTGCAGCAAAGATCTCCTCCTCCTACATGAAGGAGATTCTGTGTAGCAACAAGATCTGAGTCACTGCACGGCAATAAAAGACCCACTGCACCAAGTCTCAGAGCCCAGGTCAATTGATTCAGGCTTACAGGACTTGGGACACGGAGCTAAAAATAGCAGTGTAGACATTTGTGCTTGGGCTGGAGCCTGGGCTCTGACACCTTCTTCCCCCACTGTGGGATTTCAAAGCCCAGGCTCCCCTGAACCCAGATGTCTACACTGCTATTTTTAGTACCACGAGCCTGACTCAGTTGACCCAGGCTGTGAGATTCAGTTGACCCAGGCTATTGGTGCCATGGGTTTTTTATTGCAGTGTAGGCATATCCTTACACTGTGTTCACAAGCTGTACATAGCAGAAGCAGCAGCCTTAAAGTGCTTACAAGGGTTGCCATTATATGCACATAGGCAATGTAAATAAAGTACAGTTGTGCGGGGGATATATAACTTAACTTGTAATTGCCAAAGCACAGGATTTCATTCTCGCCCCCAATGTTGCATTAAAGAGACACACTCAATGTAAAAATCACACTTCTGTCTGAAAATTGTGTACCTACAACTGTTACAAGTTATATAATGGAACACCTACAAGTTATATGGAGGACTAGTATACTGACTCTTTAGAAAGTTATGCTAGATATTTAACAGGCTACAGTTCTGAAATTCCTGCTTGGCTCCTTCTAACAGTTATTTTATGTTTCAGGAACTAATTGGATTGAACACATTTTAAATGACTTGACATCCGCAGTTCTAAGGGAGGAGGTACCACGAACAAAGCATTTACAATTTCTGAATTTGGAGTTCCAGAAAAATTTCAGGTCAGCATGGACTAATTCAGGAAGTTTATTTTTAGCATCTAGTACTTTTTTAAATGTCTATATTTTACAGTATCTCATATAAGTACAAAACACTTTACAGAGAGGGTATACACTTCCATATCAAGTAATTTGAAGGTAATTCTCTCAATTACTTTTTGTATGTGGGAACATGTTATAAAAGATTAAAACACGGGCAAACAAGTGTGATTTGAAATGAAATTGACTTTTGTGTACTAAAAGAACAGAACTTAATTTTAACTCTAATCTGGACCTCCTACTGCTGTATTAGAATTTCCAATCCTTAGTGTCAATTTTGAGTGCAATATTTTAAAAATCTTTTGAGAAGAAAAGGTTAATGAAGTCATTAGCTGATTATTCCTGATTTCTATCCATCCTAGTTTAAGGTGTGACTTTTCCAAAGTGAAGTCAAGCCTATGCCTAAGGGCTTGGCTACACTTGCAGATGCAGAGTGCTGGGAGTTAAACCGGCCTTTGGAGACCGCAGGAGGGAAAACGCTGCCCTGTGTTTACACGATCAGCTGCAAGCACAGTGGTATGGCCACATTAGTAGCTCTTGCAATGCCACCGAGAGCAGTGCATTGTGGTAGCTATCCCAACGTGTAAGTGGCTGCAGCGTGCTTTTCAAATGGAGGAGGGGGGTGGAGTGGAGTGTGACAGTTGTGTTGTGTGTATGTCGGGGGAGAGACAGTGTGTTTTGGGGGGCAGTGTGTGTCAGCATGCTGTCCTGTAAGTTCAGATGGCAGCAGACCCCCCCACCCCCCACCTCTTTCTCACACACACATGCCTGGGCAGCAGTGGCATTCCACAGTAATGGTTTGCTTTGTGTCCCGGAGAAGATAAACATGCTGCCTGTCAGAAATGGAGCTTTGAAAGGGGATATCCGCTTGCCTGCAGCCATTACAAGCTACATACCACACAGACTATGCTGACAGCTTGTGCCACACCCTCTCAAAGAAACTGCGGAACCACCTGATCAACATCCTCTACAGCAAACAGGGAAAGATTAAGAATGAGCTCTCAAAACTGGATACTCTCATAAAAAACCAACCTTCCAGAGTTCAAAACAATGAGAAGAGTGGCCACTTGACTTCAGAGGATTATGAGATGTTTCCAGAGGCCAATCCCAGTGCAGTAATGCAACACGTCTCTCAGCAAGCTTTATGCTTCTCGTGGAGGTGGATTGCCAGGAGCGCTCCAGCTGCAGAGTCCAGGCGCTCTAAGTGCCTTGCCAGTGTGGACACCCAGGGCCGTCCCTACCCAGAAGCAAAGTACGCAGCTGCTTAGGGCACCAGCAGATTTGGGGCACTAAATTTCCTGGTGACCTAAGCAGCTGCGTGCTGCTCCAGCCCCTGCTCCACCTCTTCTTCCTCTGCTCCACCTGGCTTCTTCCCACTCCTGCTCTGCCCCAGCCCCGCCTCCACTCCACCCCTTCCCCAAAACCCCTGCCCCTGCTCCACCCCAGCCCCGTCCCCACTCCCCTGGAGGACTGCAAGGAATCGGGCCCACACTTACCAGCGGCAATAAGTAGAGCGACCCGGCCACAGTGTGCTCCGCTCCGCTGGCTCCCAGCCACACTGCCGGTGCGTGCTGTGGGGCTGTTCCCCCCCTGGGCCCCAAAGCTGGGAGCCCAGGAAGCAGAGCAGAGTGGGCTGGGTCTGGGTCACTCCACTTCCCGCCACCCCATAAGTGTGGGGTCGGGCCTGACTGCCCTGTACTCACCGGGTGGCAGGAAGTGGAGTGATCCGACCCCAGCCCGCTCTGCTCTGCCAGTGAGGGCTGGTGGGTAGTTTCTCCCTGCAGAGGCCTGGGGCCCTACACAGCCCCCCCCTGTGGGGGGTGAGGGGGGCCTGCGTAGGGCACCAAAATGGCTAGGGATGGCCCTGTGGACACCTCAGAAGTTAGGATGCCTGGGGCCGATATAATGCACTCTAACTTGCAAGTGTAGCCAAGCCCTATGTCTTTGCAAGATCAGGGGAATGTGTGACTCTAACAGTGTATATGGCTCTGTGTGTGTCTATATGTTATAATTGCAAGCCATGAGTAGTAACACCTGATGGACTGTTACTTTTCTTTATGTGGTTTTATAAGTAATGCACAAGATTGGGAGTCAGAGTTAGGACATCGCTAATGACAGCTCTGTGTCTGGCTTCAGGCGAGACATTTCATCTCTCCTCTTCAGTTTCCTCATTTGTAAAACAGAGATATTATTTATTTTTGTCACAGAGGTGCTGTGAGACTTAATTAATTACCGTTTGAAAATATTTAAGAACCTCAGTTAAGAGATCATATGGGCTGACAGCAATGGAGCAAAACCTGGGTAAAATCTGAGACAGTGTTGCAGGACTAAGGGTACGTCTACACTGGCAGAGTTACTGTGCCGGCAGTTTCAGCGCCGCTTAGAGAGCATTGACGAGAAACTGCTGTTGTGTGTTCACACCGTCAGCTGCTTGCGTAACAGTGTGTTCACACTTGTGGCACTTGCAGCGGTATTCGGAGCGGTGCACTCTGGGCAGCTATCCCACAGAGCATCTCTTCTGCTACTAAGAGTTGTGGGAAGGCGGAGGGGGTTGCGGGGCATCCTGGGTCCTGTCACAATGCCCTGTGATGCATTGCTTCGCATCCCAGCAATCCCTGTGCTTCTGTCTGCATTTGGCGCCATCTTTCGCAGGTTTGTGTACTGCGTGCCCTGCCTCTTCGGTCTGCAGGAATGGATCCCGCACTGTTGACCAATATGCTGCTCGCTCTGACCAACACGGCATGAGCGGCAGTGGAATTATTCCTTAAACTACAAAGGCAAGAGGAGTCTGACATTGATCTCACCACGCGTAGTAACTATGACACGAGATTGCTTGTGGCATTCACGGAGGTGCTGACCACAGTGGAATGCTGCTTTTGGGCTCAGGAAACAAGCACTGAGTGGTGGGATCATCCTGCACGTTTCGGATGATGAGCAGTGGCTGCAGAACTTTCGGTTGAGGAAAGCCACATTCTTGGGACTGTGTGATGAACTCACACCAGCCCTGTGGTACAAGGATACAAGAATGAGCGCAGCCCTGCTGTTGGAGAAGCGCGTGGCGAGTGCACTGTGTAAGTCGGCTATTCCAGACTGCTACCAATTGGTCACTAACCAGTTCGGAGTGGGAATGTCAACAGTTGGACTCAGGTTGACAGAAATGTGCAGGGCCATTAACCACATCCTGCTCCAGAAGACTGTGACTCTGGGCAACATGCATAACATTGTGGATGGCTTTGCACAAATGGACTTCCCTAACTGCAGAGGGGCGACAGATGGCACGCATATTCCAATTCTGGCACAAGACCAACTAGCCACTGAGTACATTTATCAGAAGGGGTATTTCTCTATGGTTCTTCAGGTGCTTGTGGATCACCGTGGGTGTTTCACGGACGTTAACGCAGGCTGGTCCGGAAAGGTGCATGACATATACACCTTTCGGAACACTGGCCTATTCAGGAAGCTGCAAGCAGGGACTTTATCCCCAGACCAGAAGATCACCGTAGGGGAAGTCAAAATGCCCACTGTGATCCTGGGAGACCCCACCTACCCCTTAATGCTGTGGCCTATGAAGCCATACATGGGACACCTGGACAGCAGCAAGGAGCGGTTCAACAACAGGCTGAGCAAGTGCAGAATGACTGTTAAGTATGCTTTTGGCCATTTAAAGGCCCGCTGGCGCTGCCTCTATGGGAGGCTGTACCTGGCCGATAACACTATTCCTATGCTTATAGCTGCGTGCTGTACGCGCTATAGTATTTGTGAAGGGAAGGGTGAAAGCTTGACACAGGGCTGGACCACTAAGGCTCAGTGCCTGGAGGCTGAATTTGAACAGTCAGAGACCAGGGCTATTAGAGGGGCGCAGCATGGGTCCATAGGATCAGGGATGCCTTGAGGGAGCAATTTGAAGCTGAAAGCCACTAAGATTTGTTGCTATGCTCAGGAGTGCAGTTCTTGTAATGCCAGGAGGTGATTGTGATTGGTGCAGACGATGCACTATGAAGTTGTAAGGAAATTGCCTGTTCCTTTGTGGGGCTCTCTTTGCTTTCAATTAATGGAATAAAGATTACTTTCACACTAAAACAATTATCTTATTAAAAAACAATCGGAGGAGAGAGACAAACAAAAAAACACATCAGCACTGTGGGGCTGGGGGAAGGGAGGGTCCCAGGATTGTTAAAGATTTGGGTATGTCCAGGTATCATATCCAACCTTCTCCTTTGGAGTACAGTGCAGCGGGTACTGTACTTCAGTAGGGCTAAACTGCAGAGGGACGAGTGTTGAGTGCAGTAAAACCACCCTGTAAAGTAAAGTAAAACACGCAAGCCTGTGCCGAATACAGTAAGAAAGTGATTACAGATGAAATCTCACTCTCAGAGATGTTCCAGTAAGCTTCTTTTACAGACTCGTCTCTTTCTAGTCTGGATCCAGCAATCACTCACCCCTGCTATTGTTACCTTCCTTTGCTCCAGTTTCTTTCAGGTATCCTTTGGGGGTGGAGGGCTATCTCTTGAGCCAGCTGAAGACAAAATGGAGGGGTTGAAATAGACTTTCTCTTGTGGGTGGACACCCCCTCCCCGATATAGAAACCAGCTACAAAATGGAGTTTTGGAGTCACATGGGCAAGTCACATGTCCATGCATGACTCAGAGCTTACAGGTGGCAGCCATTGTTCACATGCTACCTTCAACGTCCTCAGGCAGACTTCTTATGTGGATTGAAGTCTTCCAAGAACCATTGTCTGTTAAGTGTTTCTTGACTGGGCACTTAACTTGCAAATTCCTTTCTAAAGAAGCTGACCAAATGCCTTACTAAGGCGACTTACAATCAAACAAGTACACAGCCAACATACATAACTTTGAGTACAAAAATGATACATGCATACAAATAGGATGAATATATTCAGTAGATCATAAACTTTGCAGAGATATGTTATATGGCCTATCTAGCATAAAACATATTCTAGTTATGTCATATTTACTTTCATAAGCATATTTCCATAAAACATTATGGGGTGCAATGTCACATACACATATTATAAATTGTCAACATATTCGAGGTAGACATGTTGTGATTCCTTTTTTTTCACATATTCTTTTTGTTTTGATTTAGAAAATAAAAAGTTTACCTTCGCCACGTCTTTTTACCACACATCTCCATTGTGATAATATTCCCAAGGCTGTTTTGGGGAGTAACGCAAAGGTAAGTGAGCATTTTAATATTTGATATTATTCACTTTCCAAGCAACTCCCAGTTTTCCTCTGGCAAAAGTTCTCTACAGGATTGCCTGGAAAACAGGAATTCAGTTTCACAAAAAAATTCAAGGTTACAGCATTTGGTTTTGTTCGGCATTGGGATGTAACCAAGAACGGTGGAATTTTTTTTGTGAAAAAACAGATTGAGGAGAGCAAAGACTTGAACCTGGGTCTCTGATGTTCCAGGTTAATGCCGTAACTGTTGGGACTTTGGCTATTCTGGGATGTGTGTGTGCATGCCTCTCTCTCCCTCCCATTTTAACCAGAAATGAATAAATTTCTGGGAAAACTTTTGGCCAGTCAGCATTTTCTGGTGAAAAAACATTTCCCTGAAAAATTCCTGACCAACTCTAGTTCTCTACTTGGCTTTTTCAGATCCCACAATCTGACATCTTTCACTATAAAAGTGGAATTCAGTTTTTACTGGTTGTTGTTTGTAATTCACACAAAGGTCAAATCTTAGATCCCAGCCCTGCAAGGTGAGCTGTATAGGATAGCCCTTATTGCTCCATGGAACCCCCATGAAGTCATAGGGGCTCCAAGCAGGTGTAAGGTCTCTCCACACAAATCAATTTGCAGGATTGGGGCCTCACTTTCCAAATTTCAGTTCCTGTAGGAGCTGATACGTTTTTAATGCAGGACCCTTGAGATCAAAGGTTACCTTAAAATACCAAAGACTCATGTGCCTTTGCTGTTTTAACAGTTACTGGTGTTATTTCGAAATCCAAAAGATGTAGCTGTATCCTATTACTGCTTCTACAACAAAAATCCTATGCTTCCAAATGTCAGCTCCTGGGATGAGTTCTTTCAGAAGTTCATGAGTGGAGAAGGTACAGTTATTAGATCTTTGCTATGTTTCTCAGTGGCGTTTATAAACACTCTAGTACAGTGTTCTCAACTCTTCTTTGGTCTGCAGTCCAAAAAGGGGATCTGTGATCATCATGTTAAAATTAATCCCATATGGATTCAAACTAATGATCTGGGTTGGAGAGGGCAGGGGAGCTGGTGCTAAGGAGTCAAAGGTGCTTCACTCTTCTTCAACCCTGAGCAATGCTCAGCACTCGGAGCATTGCTGTGGAGATATTCAAATGGTCAGGATGGTGCAGTATACAGGGATTCCACTTCATCCCCAGCACACAAAGGGTAAACTCCAGCTTTCCTTTTCTTTCTGGCAGGCATTATCCTTCTTCTGATTTCACATCCTAATAACTAGATTTATGAGTGAGTTTCTCCCCCTTTGTTCTCAGCTACTTTTTTCTCTTGCTTTCATTTGCATCTCAGAGCAGGGGTACACATTTTAGAGCAATTCAAAATAAAGGTTTGGGGTAAAATTTTTAAAAATGCCATAGTGACTTAGGAGCCTAATTCTCATTGACTTTCAGTGAGACTTAATCACCTAAGGCCATATTTTTAAAGGCATATAAGTGCCTAAAGATGCAGATAGATGCCTAGCGAGATTTCAAAAAGCACCTAGGTACCTAATTCCCATAGACTTCAAGCACTTTTGAAAATTCCACCTGGCACCTATCTGCCCATTATATCGAAATCACTTTTGAAAATGGGATTCAGGTTTTCTAAATCTCTTAGGCACTTTTGAAAATTTGGCCCTTTATTTATAATTGAGCAGAGGTTTGAGCTACAACTGAAATAGATAAACCCCTTTCTGTAGACTGAAGAACTCAGTATTAGTCTCACTATCATCTGTTGACAAAGAGCACTATTATGCTGGAAAGAACAGTATTCCAAAGAGCGTTCATGCTGTCAAAGCAATGGGAGCAGACATGAGTTGCAGATTTCCTGTCATGTCAAGGAGCTTCATAGCAATCGGGCTCAGACTCAAGGAAAACGACAGTGAGAGCAACCCTGCATGTCAAGTGAAGTTCTCTTGTAAAGGGGAAAAAGAGACTGTAAAAATGGCATAGTGGATTTTGTACACATCTCTTTATTACTTCCAGATCAGAAGTGCTAGGCTTACAAACAAACAATGTTTTATGTAACTGCCAGCTCCTCAAATTCCATCTGGGATTTGTGAATCAAGTTGGGCTCTTTCCTTCTTCAACACCGCTGCCAGTGATAAGGACTCTGTAGGCCAAACTGCACTCTTAGTAACATCTGTACAACCCCACTGGCCTGTCATGCCAATTTAGCAAGCTATTTTGATGATGATGTTGCACAAAATGGAATAGATTCCAGCTTGTACTCTCCTAACTGTGCTGATTTGGCAGAGTTTAATGCTTTTCACTCCTTTTAAGATGCATTTTATTTCAGAAAGTAAGCAGAGAGGGCACTGTATATACTTAGGAAAACAGACCTGTTTAGTAAGAAGGTGCCTTGTTTTACATACTCATTTTGCAGAGAACAGCACTTTAACAAAATATCAAGCCAAACCCTCTGTCATACGAGCTACTCTGACACTGAGGTGCATTTCAGGGATTTTGAGAAGTTGCTGACAGTATAATACAGTGTCTATGTATGATATCAGCAAAGTCTCTTTATTTCACCCCTTTTTTTGTGCAGTTCTGTCAGGAAAGAGACCAGAAATCAGCTGGATCTGTCCGGCTGAGAAATTCCCTGATGTAGGAGAGCTTTCCATGGATGCAAAGCTGGCATTCTTGATTCTTGTACTATTCTGCCGCTATAACTGGCACAGGGGTGGTGTCAAGAGACTAATCTTAATTGGTGAATAGTTCCTTGGGGACTTTGCCACTTACCATAGGTTAGAGTAGCCTCTAGGCTGCTTGAAGTTACCGTGGAGCCAGGTCTGAGCTGGGCAGAGAATCAGGGAACCGTAACCATAAACTGCCTTACAGCCCCTGAAGCAAATGGAGGAAATTTAATATAACAAAGAGTCTGTGCCATATTCTAGTAAACAATTATTGGAAAATAAAGTATACTGGTAGAAACTAATTGTTTATATTTTGTAAGGGCCTATCCCTGCAAGCACTTATGCATGTGAGTAAAATTTACTCACATTAATAATCCCACTAAAGTAAAGGAAATTATTCGTATGGTGAGTGTTTGCAGGACCTTAAATCTGTGTTGTTGGGGTTATTTTTTTTTAACTTCGCCATTTCATAAGTGCAATGTTAGCCTGGTTATGTGATAGATTGAATATACACACATGGCTGCGTTACTGATTACTACAAAATGTATTCAAGAATTAATTTGTTGTAAACAGATTTTTTTTAAAACTTGTCGTGTAGAAACGGTATAGCTTGATTATGTAAAAATAGTTGGAAGAAGAAAGTAAAAAGTCAAGTCTGGAGTGAATGACTTCCAAAATAACATCTGTCCCCTCCTCCCCCCAAAGAAAAAGAAAAAGGAAAAAAAAAGAACTAAGAACAGAGTACTGAAGGATTAGACGATCTAAGCTCTCCAGGACTCTATGTTGAAGTTAGCCTGTACATTTCATCTTGGGGCAATTTAAATATACTTTAAATTATCTTCTGTTTTTGACCTGTCTGCCTTAACTTCATTTTAGTCTGCTGGAACTCATATTTTGACCATATTCTTGCCTGGAACAAACACATGGATAAAGAGAATATCATGATCATCACCTATGAAGAAATGAAAGAGGTAAATATGTGTAGAAAGTTAAAAATGGAAAAGACTTATTAGGTCTTGTACTCAGTTCTGATACAGAATTGCTCCCTTCAGCATATTCTCAAGCATCTTGTCCCATCCAGTTTTCATTTTGTCCCAGGCAAAACCTTATTGTGCAGAGAACAGGTATATGATGTTGCAGCCTGTTTTCCCACTGGCTACTAGCCCTTCTATCTTTAGCCCAGCTCCCTCCTCAAGCACGAAAGCCTTGATCCTGCAACATTAAGCACGTGCATGAGAGTGGTCCCATTGACTTCAGTGAGACTGTTCACATGCTTAAAGTTAAGCATGTCCATGTTAGCAGTTTGAGGATCTTAAACTGTAAATTCTCTGGGTTAGGTAATGCCAATGCTTATATAGAACAATACTAATTGATGCGGCTAGATAAATGTTATCAGTAGTAATTAATACTAAAATAAAGAGATCCATGCAGAAGATTGAGAGCATTCACTTAACACATTGCCATTTGGGAAGGGAGGCACATTCCAAAATCTTATCAAAAGTAACCACCATTCCTGCAACCTCCTGCTGCTGAACTTAATATATTTCTCTAATGTTCTGGCCTTTGTATGGATGAGAATATTATCAACTACATTCATTTGACAAGATAGAGGGAAAATGTCTGGCATGTTTGCTTTAACTTATACATAACTCTATCGCATTTTTGTTTTTCAGAACTTACCTCAAGGAGTGAAACAAATAGCTGAATTTTTGGGGTTCTCTCTGCCTGAGGAGAAGATTCAGTCTATTGCAGAGAATGCCACCTTTGAATCAATGAGCAATATATCCCAAGAAAAATATGGAAAATATGGTTCCATCCTTTTCAGAAAAGGTACATTTATACAGAGCGATGATAGTCCTAGAGTTTAGAACAGGTATCCAAATTGGTCATGGGAGCTAATTAACATTTAAAAGGCTTGATAAGATGCATGACTGTTGTGACCATTTCAGGAGCTCCCAAATGCAGAACTAATGCATTTAATTCATAGCTGATAATGAATTTTCTTCTCCTGAAAATGGACATCCCTAGCTGGATGATCACTCAGGCACTGAATACTGTTCTTTCAAAATATGAGCTCTGTGTGGAAAATACCTTGGTTGTAAAAGGTGCATGCATATATACCTGTAAAATTTAGTGCAAAGGGTTTTCTTTAACCTAAAATTTTAAGAACACCATCCACATTGAAGCCTCATATTGATTTGAAATGTGGTAATAAGTTCAGTCATTCCAACTGTTTGTGTCAGCATTTCATTGTTATCTACCGCTACCTGACAGGTGATCTTATACTTCCAAGAATATTTATGAGTTTATTTCATTGTTCTTTTGCAGGTACTGTTGGAGATTGGAAGAATCTGTTCACTGAAGCTCAAAGCCAAGAAATGGATGCCAAATTTGAAGAAAGTTTAGCAGGAACGAAACTGGGAGCCAGGCTAAAATATGATAAATACTGCAAATATTAAATCCTTGAATATCAGAATGACATTAGCATTTACTCAGTAACATCATCTATTTTACTACCTTTTGTTTGAGAACGTAGAGATTAAAATAATTAGCCTTTCACGCAAGAATTTTCACACAAAAAACAACCAAACCCAAGACACAGTAAATAAGGCTAGTGGTCCAAATACTGCCCATCTGTGACTTATTTAGGCTTAGAATCTCCTGTGCATAGTGGCACATGAGGCAACCCACTTTTCCTACTGCTGCCTGTCCAGAACAAGATGTTTGACTCAATTGTAAATTGTCTCCATGATGGCAACAACTTTTGCAATTGTCTTGCAATAGGCCATTTTTTCTCCTTCATGCCTTCTCTTCCCTCCAGGTGGAATCCAATAGAATGCTACGACTACACTATGCAGCTTTTAGCAACACGGCTGTGCCGCTATAGCTGTGCTGCTAAAAGCCGCGCAATGTAGCTGCTGTTTGTCGTCAGGAGAGAGCTCTCCTGCCGACAAAAAAATTCCACCCACAACGAGCAGCAGCAGCTTTGTCGGTAGGTTCACACCGGCACTTTTCGTTGGTAAAACTTTTGTCGTTCAGGGTGACGTTTTTTGTCGTTCAGGGGGTGTTAAAAAAAAGTTTTGCCAACGAAGTCCCAGTGTAGACACAGCTAAGATATACCTTTGTGCTTCTGCCTTGTGGTAGCCTGATGACATTGTTGGGGACACTGGGGCATGGCCACTAGGTAACTCGAGGGGATGGAAGACCACGAGTGTCGATGAAGCCCCCTCGCACTAGGCCCAAGTGTCCTTGGCCCCCCCTTGCCTGGAGGCACTCGCAGCAGTTATGCGTACGAGGCCCAAGTGTCCTTGGCCCCCCCGCCTGGAGGCACTCACAGCAGTTATGCTGAGGATCTGCAACAATATGTTGCAGAGTCAGACTGCCTGAAACTAAGCAAGGCCAAACAGGGCAGATATGAAAGAACAATGCTGAATAAAGCAGCTTTATGTATGGTTCAACAAATGACACAGAGAACAAGGGAACTAGCTGGGAACTGGATTGGCTGGCTATATAGATACTTAGGGCAGCTTGCTATTGGATAAGTATGCTGGGAAAAAGGATGTATAAAAGCCTGTGTAACTTCCTGCTCTGTGTGCAGGATTTGAGATTCTATTCTCCCTGTACCTTTTTGCAGCTGCAAATAAACTTTTCTGCTTCTCCACCCCGTTGTGATTATTGGGTGTAGCACACTGGGTCGCGAACCAACCTCAGCTGTTGTTTAGCCTCTCGGCACTGGGTGCCGGCAACAGCTTTTGGCGTCCCTGGGTGGGCGACGAGGCTGCTATTTAGCCTTGCCCGGACCCCTCCTGGAGGTCGAGGATTGCGGCGAGAACCGACGCCCAGCGCGCACCGGTGAGTTCATTGGGGGCCTCGGAGGAGACGCAATTTGATCGACCCCTGAGGACACAACGGTGAAACGCACTCATATAGTGGAGAAGCAACTGTGGACGACGGTGAGGAACCGGTCCCTTGGACATAGGGGAGGAGCAGCTGTGGACGACGGTGAGGAACCGGTCCCTTGGATAAGGTAGGAACCTTTTGAAATCCGGCTTGTTTGCTCTGTTGGAACCTGGGGACGCCCAGAGTTCCCCTGTATGTATGGGACAGGGACAGAGCTCAGGGGTTAGGGCACGGTGTACGCCCCTAGAATGCATTCTAGCAAACTGGAAGGTATTTGGTGCGGATCCAATGACTAAGAGCCAATTAAAACGATTCTGTACAGTTGACTGGCCTCAATATCAACTAGAGGACCAGGAGTGGTGGCCACCAGGAGGGTCAATTAATTACAACACGATCCTTCAGTTACTCCTGTTCTGTCAGAGAACAAGGAAATGGAATGAACATATGTATGCGCATTTGTTTCTGACTTTATGTACTCGACCAGATATTTTACAGCGCTGTAATCTGACTCCGACTGGTTCGGTAGCAGCTAATGTTAGTCCCCAGACCCCCACCCCCACTGTAATGGCAGAGCCGGTGTCCCCTTCGGCCCCTACACCCACACCTTGTAAGTCCCCAATGGTTGGCCTATACCCCTTAATCACCGAAACTAAAGTCGTCCGGTCTGGATCGGACAGGTGTCCGGCCACGACTATGCAGGTTTATACTCATGTGCCCTTTAATCCTGTGGATTTGGCTGCTTTCAAAGCACAGGCAGGAGAGTTTTCCACCAACCCAAGCAGGTTTATATCAGTCTTTGAGGGGTGCCTCTGCAGCCACAAGCCGGACTGGGATGATTGTAACGTCCTCCTGCGAACCCTACTGTCTGAGGTTGAAAGACAACAGGTTGTGTCCAAAGCAAGGGAGGAGGCGCAGAGACGGTACGACCGGGATCGTATTAATGTCCCTGACCCGGATGCACAAGTCCCCCGAGCAGACCCCAGGTGGGATCCAAATGATCACGGGGATATGACCCACCTTACCACCTATAAGGAGTTGCTCTTGCATGGACTCCGTCACTCGGCTCTCCGACATAATAATTGGGCAAAGCCATCTGAACTAATACAGGATTTAAAAGAAAGCCCAGAGGCCTTTCTACAGCGTATTTGGGACACAATTCGACAGAACACTAATGCAGACCCCGATGATCAGGAGTCAATTATTAAGGGAATTTTTATGAGCAGAGCAGCCCCTGATATTAAGAGAAAGTTACAAAAAAGGGGCGATTTAATGGGCATGGCCATGGCACAAATCTTAGAGACTGCAAACCGAGCTTACAGTCTGAGAGAGACAGAGAAGGAGAGAAAGCAAGTGAGACTGATGGTAACAGTGGTACAGGCCGGCACTAAGGGAAGTGGCTGGGGAGGAAGGAGCTATGGACACGAATGTCTGGGCTCGCAGGAGAGACGACTGGGTCGCAACCAGTGTGCCTTGTGTCGACAAGAGGGACACTGGAAAAATGAGTGCCCAAAGAGGAAAGAAAAGGGGGGTGCCTCTATGATGGCGATGGCGGAGCAGGAATAGGGGTGTCAGTGGAGACGGACCACCCTACCCCTGGAACCCCGAGTAAAGATGCGGGTGGGAAGCTCAGAAATAGATTTTTTTTAGTGGACTCTGGAGCGGCCCGAACTGCCGTACATCGACCCCTTCAGTTGCCAGTAGCAGATTCCCTTACTGTGGTAGGAGCCACAGGCAAAGACACCAAGTGCCCAGTGTATGTCCCAGCGGAATGCGCTTTGGGAAACAGAACTATATCCCACAAGCTGGTATACCTCCCTGAGTGTCCAACACCTCTGCTGGGACGGGATCTGCTTTGTCGCCTCGGTGCCACCCTGCATTTTACTGAGGATGAAATAACCCTTACCTTACCCCCTGAGAATGCATGGATCATGACCCTTGCAGTTGAGCCCTCAGCCATGCAAGCCCCAGAATGGAGCCCATGGGAAGACCAGGTGTACCCCCTTGTGTGGGTATCAGGGATTCCAGGAAAGGCCACCCATCAGACCCCCATTACTATTCAGCTCATACCAGGGAAAGGCCCAGTGCAAGTAAAACAGTATCCAATCAAGAGGGAAGCCAGAGAAGGTTTACAGGAAACTATAGATCGATTCCTAATGTATGGTATTCTCCGGGAATGTCAGTCAGCCTGGAACACTCCCATTCTACCCGTACAGAAGCCTGATGGCACGTATTGGCTGGTACAGGACCTAAGGGCAGTCAATGAACAGGTTAAGACTTTGCACCCTCTTGTCCCTAACCCGTATACCTTATTGGCTTCTATAGGGGAACAGTATAGCCATTTTTCAGTCCTCAATCTGAAAGATGCTTTCTTTACCATCCCAGTTGCCACCCCGTCACAGGAGATCTTCTCCTTTGAGTGGGAGGACCGAAAAAGGGTTAAAAAGCAACTTTGCTGGACAGTGTTGGCCCAGGGATTTAAAAACTCCCCCACCCTCTTTGGCCAAGGTCTGGCCAGGGACCTAGAGGAGTAGGATAATGAGGAGGCCCTCCTTCTGCAGTATGTAGATGATTTGTTAATTGCCACTGTGGGCCAAACCCCCTGCCTTAAAGCCACCATGAGCCTCCTGAATTTTATTGGACTCCAGGGATATCTGGAGCATGGAGTAAGGCTCAAATCGCCCTCCCAGAGGTACGGTACCTCGGGTTTCACATACGGCAAGGGGAGCGTCAGCTTTCAAGCGAAAGAAAGGAAGCTATCTGTCAAGTTCCTACCCCAAGTAATCGTAAGCAGCTCAGGGCATTTCTGGGTATGGCAGGCTTTTGCAGGATATGGATCCCAGAGTTTGGACTCTGGGCTAAACCCCTGTACGACTGTGTAAAAGGAGCAGATCATGACCCCTTCCATTGGACCCCAGAGGCTGACAGGGCATTTAAAATCCTGAAAAGAAAATTGATGGAAGCCCCGGCTCTGGGCCTGCCGGATCTCTCTAAGCCATTTCAGTTGTATGTACATGAACGAGAGGGGGTGGCCCTAGGAGTGCTTACACAGCTGTTAGGAGCATGGAGACGTCCCGTGGCTTATTTTTCTAAGCAACTGGATCAGGTTGCGAAGGGTTGGCCGGCATGTTTACGGGCAGTCGCAGCTACTGCCCTAGTGATTGAGGAAGCCGAGAAGCTAACATTGGGAGGGGTTATGAAAATCTATACTCCCCATATGGTCCGAGCCTTATGGATGCAAAGGGAGGGCTTTGGCTCACCCAGGCTCGGATTGCTCGGTACCAGGCTAAGCTGTTAGAGAACTCTGAAGTCACCTTACAGCCTTGCCCCTCCCTTAACCCAGCCACTCTCTTGCCAGAAACAGAGGAACAAAAACATGACTGTTTAGAGATCATAGATGTCCAGTACTCCAGCCGTCCAGATTTAAAGGATATACCCCTCCCAAATGCAGATTATGAGTGGTACACTGATGGTAACAGTACTGTAATAGATGGGCGGGTTATGCTGTTGTGCCCTCCATGACACTGTGGAAGCTGAAGGTTTGCCTGCTGGGACCTCTGCCCAGCTTGCCGAACTAATAGCCCTGACCCGTGCACTTGAACTGTCAAAAGGAAAGCGGGTCAACATTTTTACTGATTCAAAGTATGCTTTTGGTGTGCTGCATGCTCAGGCTGGCCTATGGAAGCAAAGGGGAATGCTGACAGCCCAAGGCTCCCCAGTCAAGTATGGGCCCCAAATCCTCCAGCTCCCAGAAGCCATACAACTTCCCTTGGAAGTGGCGGTGGTACACTGTAAAGCCCATCAAAGGGAAGATCAAGATGTGGCCAGAGGGAACGCCTGGGCAGATAGAGAGGCTAAGCATGCTGCCACCCTGCCATCCCCTCAGACTGAGAACGCCCATATGCATGTCCTTATCCTATCAGTAGGGGAGCTTCCAACCCCTCAGTACTCTGGGGAGGAGAGACAGCTAACTGACAAACTCAGTCTCCGGGAAAAGGAGGGATGGCTCCATTCCCCGGAAGGGAAGGTCCTCTTACCAAAGGGCCTGATCCGGCCAGTGCTGCAGAAACTGCGTCAAACCACTCATGCTGGCAGGGAAGCACTTATCCAGCTAATGGGAAAATACTTTATCACTTCTGGACTCCGACCCCTGGCTGCCCAGGTACAAGCGGACTGCTTAGTCTGCCAAAAGAATAACCCCCGACCGGGACATCCTGTGCCACCAGCTGCCCTAGAACCCACTCCGGGCCCCGGACAAGTGTGGCAAATAGACTTTACTGAGTTTCCCGAGTTTCCCCGGACCCAAGGGTTCAAATATCTCCTTGTCATAGTGGATCGGTTCAGCGGATGGCCAGAAGCCTTCCCATGCCGTAATTGCACTGCCAAAACAGTGGCCCTCAAGTTTGTTAAGGAGATCAATTCCTCTCTTTGGACTCCCCCTGTGGATGGAATCTGACAACGGGACACATTTCACGACAAAAATCATTCAAAGCGTCTCATATGCCTTACAGATCCCCTGGAAACTCCATACGCCCTGGAGACCGCAAGCCAGTGGTGTAGTGGAGCATACCGATCAGACCCTTAAACGGCATCTCTCAAAAGTGTCCCAAGAAGCCTCACTGCGATGGCCTGATGCTTTGCCCCTCGTCCTACTCTGTATCCGCCTTCTCCCTAAGGGTAGATTAGGGCTTAGTCCCTTTGAAATTATGTTTGGAAGGGCATGGCCTATGAATGGCACCCCGGTTCTGTCAGGGGAATGGGAGC